TGTTTCTGTGTAACAGATTAAAATATAAATTACAAAAAGAATAATACTACAGATCAAATTCTTTCTTGCAGTTCGTAGCATGATTATGTGATATATTCTGCATTTTTTTGAAGTACTGTAAGTAGAATAAAGAATGCGATGCGTGAAAGGTTGAATCATAGAAGTTCATGAAAGTAATTAGAATATGTACAGATTTTTTTCCGTCTATGTCTTTCTGAAAAATTATCATTTATTCGTTAAGCAACGTTTGTCAAAAAATCTCTCTAAAAGTCTTTGAATTCAATTGTATCAACACCTATGTATTACTGAAATTTCAGTTTAAAAATAAGACTACTTAAATCACTATAAAAACGGCTGTGAGTTTAAAATAGTGAAACAATATTGACTAAAGGTCGATTCGGAATTTTTACGACATGGATTTCCAAAGCAATTTTCATACATTTTTAATCAAACATAGTCTAAATGGTAGAGAAAAGGAAGAATGCGTTATTTTTTTTAATTCTTTCGGACAGATTTAACAATGTTCTAACTGCGATTTGTTTTTCTCTATAATATAATCGAATTATAGAAGAGCTTATAAGTGCTTCAAAAATACAGAAATATATTTAAGCTAGCTTTATTTTTATCTATCATATTATGGATTTAATATGCAAAAACAGAAAAATAGAGGGAGAAATTTTTTTAAATGCGTAGAATTTCACCTTCATGTCCTAAAAAATCTCAAATTTCAACAGAAAAAAGTTTATTATAACTATATATATAAAGGCTAGCGAACATTTCACTTTAAAATTCAGCATTCATGTATCTGTAAGGAAAGTGTTATCTTGGATATTACTTCTGAAATGACGTAGTTTCTGAATAAAATTCAAACAATTAAACTTCACGTTTTTTTTAATGAATAATAATTAAAAAAACATATTACAAACTACATAATTTTAAAAAATGCTAATTTGGGAAAATCTCACAGAGAGCAATTAATGAAATAAAACTTCCTTGATTGTATCTTGTTATTTTATAACAATGATAATTACTTAGGAAAATTTTACTTTTAAACAAAGACAAAATAAATTAAAATCTATCCTTCAAAGGTCGAAATGAAACGTACGCACAAAATAAAATAAAATAAAATAAATCTACAATTTGACGAGAGGAATAAAGGATGATTAAATTTAACCTTTTGATATATATCTTATGCTTCTTTTTATTTATAAAACTGAACTCCCAACAATAAAAATTTCTTAATATTTATTGTTCTTATACGTTAATTGAAAAATAATAATTGGTGCTGGTTTTTTTCCCTTCCATTTTTTAAGAAAAAAAATTTTTTAACACTTTTGTTTAAGTAGCATATTTTCTAATATAATCGAAAATTCCGCCATATTTTTGATAAATCATATTAATAATTTATATACGTAAAATCCGGCATATAATGCGCACCGATGCTTTTAAGCTGCAATTTTTAGTTTTTAGGTATATTCACCACGCGCGCGCATATAACGCGCACCATTTTTAATGAAGAAACCTGAAATATACGTGGAGAATTCTCTTATATTTTGAAGTAATTTATTCGAGGTATTATTTAATAAGTTTTAAAAAACAAATAATGTTAAAAAAATGAAGTCAATTCCCCAACTAAGAAAATTTTTACTTTAGTTAGTTTTTATTAAATGGTTACAATTAATATAAATATGAATATACATATGACAGAATCACAATATTAAGTTTCAAAGTAGAAAGTGATTTTCCTGGCAATTTTCCATTTTCCTTTCTAAATATGGTGTTGGACTCTTGTTGTTTGTTACTATTCATTCATCAATTAAATTTAATTATTCCAATAAAATAGTAAGTAAAAAGAAATCACATTCTCAGAAATTAGGCCGCCCCAAGTGGGATTCGAACCCACCACCATTGAATTAGAATTCCAACGCATTATCCATTGTGCTACAGGAACACAAAGAGCGATTTTTCTTTTTATATATGGTGTTGGAATATATATATGGAGAGTATGAACTAAGAGTAGGAATTTATAAAAATAGTGTACTAGTGTACTTCTAGAACTACAGCCCTTTAAGTTGTTTAAGGAATGTCATTTGTTTTGAATAAACAATATTTCTATAAATTCTGAAGTCTAATTTTTTTCTACTCTAATTTTTTTTTTATAAAAAAAAGCTCTTATTTTTATACAGGAGTATAACGCGCACCCCCCCCCCCCCGCGTAAATGTCGATCTTTTTTTTTGTTTTAAGTGCGCGTTATACACCGGATTTTAAGTTAAATATTAGTTGCACATTTTATTTTTCATTTACTCCCCCCCCCCCCCCCATTCTTCTTAGTTTCTGAAGTTAACGAAAACTTCTTAACGATATTATTTCATTAAAATTTTTTCGCTTATTTTTAGCTAGCTCAAAAATATTCTTTTCTAATTATAAATCATTCGAATTAACAATTTTCCATGATTTGTGAAGAAGAAAAAAGTATTGTTTGTCCTATTTTATTCCACTGAAAAATAAAGACTATTATCATGATTTTGAAACAAGTATAACAATAATAAAATAAAATAATCATTCTACTTTTTTTTTAATGTTTGAGTAAATATAAATGAATAAAATGATGTTTTGGAATATATAAATATAGATATTTATATTCTACATGTACAGTTTTGCGAAAATCCATAAGAAAAAAAATTAACGCATGCGACAGCTTTGCCAAAATCGTTTGCGAATGCTACAAATACATTTTACTTACGTGTAAGCGCTGAAATTAATTACCATTACTATAAATTGCAGGAAATAAATAAATCCAGCTGATCAATCTCATTATGCGCAGTCGCAACATCACATGAGAGGGGGGATTTAAGATTAAACAGTATTAAGAGCGCATGCGTAAACGATACGGGGAATTCCCGAAATCGAAGACCGAAAGTAAATGATGGCGTTATTTCGTTTTCAAAGAGTATGTATTGTTTTCTTCCATCTCAATACACGCTTTGTCATCTGGTAATTTAGAGAAATTATAGTTTTCACAATGACCGTGTGAATCATCATGAGTGGTAACCATTATTACTAGTTTTCTTTTCTTCATCTTATTTTAAAGTGAAAATAATTTATTTCTCGCTTATAAAGTTTACCGCAGAAAAAAAATGTTTCAGCATTTTTATATAATAAAATTAAAAAAAAAGGATTCAAATAATTTACAAGCATATCTTCTGGTTGAAAAATTAAAACAAAATATAGAGAAATATTTAATAACGAATACAATTCGCACATTCACGTGCATATTGAAAATGATATTTATTTCATTTGAAGTTATTGTTAATTTATACATACAAGAATCAGAAAATTATTCTATAAATAATTTTTAAGAATGAAGTTTAAATAAATCATCAAACATATATTTTTTATATTATTTTTTTATTTTTACGATTTGCATCTAATTTGAAAACAAAAACTAGGAATTTGAAAGGTAACTTTCACCTAACTTCATTTTTAAAAAAAACTCTGGGGCTTAGGAAAGGTTGAAATTAATTCTTAAATTAAATTTTGGTTTAAAAAGACAAATTTAAATTTATATTGTTAGTGTTTAAAAAAGTCTTATTTTATGTAATATATCATCATTTATCAGAAACGTAATATTATTAGACATCTGCGTAGAATTTTATCAATTAACAGTATAGTTACATTATTTTCAGACGTAGAGAATACTCAAAATTATTTTTCAAATCAAAACACAGCGCAGAGTCATACATTCATCTGATATCGTAGTAATTCGTCCAATCGTACATTCACAGAATAACATCAAATTAGTAAACAATAAAATGTCGTTTGGGATAAAACAAAGAGAAAAAAAAATGTTTTTTCGATAGCATCAAAAAAAAAAATTATCACGAAATGAAAAGGCAATGATTAAACTGACATTTAGAATATAAAGAAATTATTAGCCACACTAAAATTTTCATTCCCTAGTGGGAACATTTTTAGGATAATGTATTTTGAATGCAATTTATAAATCATATAAAATAATAATAATAATAATATTTTTACTACGCAAATATTAAACTAATATTCAGATTATATACTAAAACAAAACAAATGTAAGGGAACTGATTTTATTAAAATTATAGAACCAGTTTTTACAATACACAGGATTTAAGAAAGAAAAGAAATGAAGTGAAATGACACGAAGAAACAAGATGTAGATATTAAAAGAGATATATAGAAAGTTCGGCAAAATACTTGATTTCGTAAAATAATATTGGATGATTCCGTAAAAAATTTTAAACCTTATGATGTGTATTTATTTACATGATATCGGTAAAATAAATACCAGATATTTCTAGTTTTTTAAAGACGTTAGCGAATTAAGTAACACATGGCACGCGCACATTTAAGGCTCACGAAAACTGCTCAAATCTTCATAGTTTTTTGTTCTTTCGGATGTTTTCTAGATTTAATGAAGAAAATATAGAGTACTTCCAAAGGATTAACATTATTAATCAACTAGCCATTAACTTAACGCTTCGCAGGGTTATTCAGGATGATGCGTTACTACATATATTTTTAAATTTTTGATATCTAAACCCTAGTATTAAGCTTTGGATTGTATTGAAAAATATTTTTATAGCCCTCCCCTATTAATTAAAAGATAAGACTTGAATTTCCAAAACGGAAATATAATTATCTTTTACACCCCCGTAGCCCCCTCCCCAAAACTCATTTTCAGCAGGTCTCTACTCAACAAAATAAACATGCTTATAAAATTTCAATGTAGGTCTTTTAGTTCAAAAACGGGGATTCGTATGTATAACGCCGCCTTAACTCCTAACAACCCCTTTGTGGCAGTCGATTTATGTAAAAAAAAACTCGTTCTTAGCGGATCTCTACTCAATAAAAGGAACATGATAACTAAATTCTAAGCTTGCAGGTTCAAAGACAGAATTCTTTTTTCATTCATACGCCCCCTGCAAAATTATTTCCGCAAAACCATTCTTAGTAGATCTGTACTCAAAATAAATGTATCAAATTTCAAGTCTGTTGGTCTAATATTTTTAAAAGGATATTTTTTTATCTATAACGGCTCCCTTTTCCTTTCGCAATCCCCCTTTAGAGTCGATTTACGCAAAACTTGTTATTAGTAGATCTCTTCCCAGCAAAAGAAACGTTCTTACGAAATTTCAAGTCTATAGATATCTATTAATTCCGGAGAAATCGACATGAGAAAAAAAAAAAAGTGGTCTTTTTTCTTTATATATGAAGCACTGACGTGGCTAGCTCTGTGGGGGCCCTATATCAAAATTCCTTCAGGGCCCCTTTATTAGATATGGGAGCCGTGCTAGTGGGAATGTCGTTGCACATGTTGGGGTCCCTGTAGTTTGAGGCCCCGTATCATTGATACGGCGGTAGCTACGCCCCTGATATGAAGATTCAAACGAAACTTTAATTTTCAGATAGCTTAAGTATCATAAAAACCTTTCGATGACGTAAGAATGTTTAATGGGCGGTTTTATGCGAGCCATTTTAAAATAAACATGAGTTTCGAAATGGTTATCCCAAGCTACGCAAATACATCACGAGCACAAACATATGACATGATGAAAGCGTTGTCGATAAACGCATGTAAAGCAATTAGCAGCAAGTACTTTCAAAAGTTTTGCTCGATAAAATCACATACGTAATGGAATAAGGAAAATGTGGAATTATGCAATTCCAGTCTTTACTGACTTAATTTCACGACTGTAGATCTTCGTATAAATTTCATTGTACAAATTTCAATAAATATAATATTTTTTTAAGAAGTATGCATTCTTCGTTTTTATTTCTTCAGTGCTAATCACATTTTAAATTAACAAGGAAAAATGCAACCGACCATTTGGAAGGGGAAAAAAAAGAAGTGCACAAAAACTGAATAATTTTTTATCCTATAAAACAGGGGTGGGCATTAAGTCGATTGCGATCGACCGGTGGACTGCCGAGACATTTTGGGGTGACCGCCTTTACTAATACCCTAGATGTGCATGCTAAAAAAATGCATTTGTAGAGCACCCATGCCAACTAATCTGGAGACTGGGTGGACCGCAACACCTTGAAAAAGTTAGAAGTAGCCCGTACCCAGGAAAAGTCTGCCCACTCCTGCTATAAAACTAGGATACAATATATAACCAATAATTAATTTCGATATAAGTATTTCATAAAATTTGAAAATTAGAAAGGAGGAGGATTTGATTGAGATAGTTTTTTGACGTCGTGTTTCGCTATTGGTGTCGACCTCGCAATTTTGAACAGCAGGACGACACCTGAGGGGCTCTCCACTCTCAATACTTCCACATCGAGCCAACAAAAATACTTTAAACCTCGACAGATTTAGAGTGCATCAGCCCGGATACGGAGGGTCTTTACAGATGCAAGGACTCAAACCCGCGACTTGATTGAAAAAATGTCGGTCACGAATTTGCGACCACGACCACCATGATCACAGAAGAGATTTCGGACTCAACTCGTTGACAAAAACTGTAACTTAATTTTCTAACTATTTTTTTTTTCTGGTAAAGGTACAAAAGTACTAATCGTGATCATCATTTTTTTGAAAGATGCGAGTTCAATTTTTGAATAAGAAATCATCATTAGGACACAGAATGGGGTTGTTAAATATTTAAGTCGAATTACTGTTTTTTTAATGTAATATTTACAAAGAATGCAGAATTTTACTGCTATTATTACAATAATTAATATGAAAAGAAACACATACTGGAAATTTGTTCATAAACTTTTTGTACAGAATGGGACCCGTTTTTAGTAATTTTTTACCAATTTTTTGCCATTTTAGTAATAATAATTTCTTTTTCTCTTCTAAATTTTACCATATTTCTCTTAAACTTTACTAAATAAATCATAAAATTCAATATACACACTGGTGTCCAAAAGTTAAGCATAAATCGTAAAATGCAAAAAACATGGAG